TTTATCTTTATCTTTATCTTTATCTTTATCTTTATCTTTATCTTTACCAACGTGCACCTAGCAACTAAGGACATCAGCGCGTTTTTGTGAGCTCAAAAAAGCGACAACATTTCGCCAACTGACTGCCGAGGTTGTCTGTATGAAGCAGAGACTTCAGCAAACAATTCAGCTGGCAAACTTGCGGAGTCCAGCAGTTGAATAGTTGGTTATTCCACATTCGTAACAAAAGCAAACAAACACACGCACACATGCAACTGATAGTGCCAAGTGTAACTGTGTCAACTGTTTTATGTACATCAGAAGTAAACTATGTGCGACATGGATCAACCGAAAAAAATTATAAAAATTCCGCCAAAAACAGCGAAGGTAAGCAAAAGAAAAGCTGATGTAGCGCCAATGACACACGAAAAAAATGTTTAAAAAATCGCAGTAAAAAAGGCATATAAAATTGTATTTGTATATACACGCACATGTTTGTATGTGTTTGTATATGTATATGTTTGCACACGTATGTGCATTGTCTGTTAGTACTCACCAACATCGGATAAATCGGGCAGTAATATCTCCTCGCCGCGATGCCAACTGGACACCTTAACATATGGTCGCACATAGTCCGGAATGGCGCACTTAATCAACGCTGAATTTCCCAAATAGACTTCGGTGTTTTCCACGTGCACGTGAAACTGCCGGCGAACAACTGTAAGCAATAAAAGAAAAAACCCAAACGAGAATGAGAGCAAGAAAAACAACACAAATACTCGTAAAATATGATTCCGAATCGGAATGGTATTGGAAAATGTGAATTCTGAATGGTGAATGGCGTTATAATTGCGCTACTTCATCTGTGTGTGGGTGTATGTGTATCAGTGTGTCTATAGAATAGTGGACGTTTTTGGAGTACGTGGAGTACGTTAGTATATGTGTTAGTGTGGTTTTATGTAGTAGTTGCGAATGAGCGAATGCAAATTCTAACAGGTGAAAACAAACAGAAAAATTGTATTTTGCATAAAAAAACTGTAAACCACGACAGCTGCGCGGCATTTATACGTATGTATTTATGTATGTATGTCCTTTTTTATATGACTATGCACAGTGATAATGAAGGGTATTGTACGCTATTGAATTTTCTACCAGCGGAAACTTTGATGGCTCATGCTTTTCGACACTTTTTTAGCATAGCAAAAAATTACATACATATGTATGTATGTTTGTGTGCTGACAGTAGTAATTTCATTTTGGTTGAGTGGATCGAAATTAAATAAAAGCGACAGAATGCATAAAAAACTCTACACATTTTAATCCTTATTATTCAGGAAATCAGAGGAAAGGTCACAAAGCACAAAGTGGGAAGTATAAATTCATTTAACAATTTAAAATTATATTAACAAAGAACTTCAGTAACTATTTGTAAATTAAGCTAATTGGTGAAAAAATTCTATTCACTGAAATTTAAGGCTTCTATACAATTTCATCTTTTTTTAAGGATCATTTTCCCACAATCGTTTAAGTACATTAACATGTTCTGTTGGAAAAGGTTAATTTATTTTTTTAGAGTTAGTCCTCATTAACCTTGCCGCCTGTCTATGCTATAAATCATTTACAAAAGTTCTCTAGTCATTCCCCAAATTAGGGTTTTTTCTTCAGACCTTTCAAAAAAAAACGTAAAATTTTTCCTATCGGAATAAATAACTTGAAATGTTCTACAATAAATATAACAAAAATATAATTGTACACTGAGGGGGAAAAAAATATTAAAATCAATCAGAAACATAGTTGCTCTTACTATAAACGTCAACGAAAGTACTGTATAGTGGTAAATATTCAATTCAACTACGAGCATATTAAAATGACCGCGTTCGTTATGAAAAATCATCCGTAAAGTGAATAATCGGGATAAAAATATTTTTTTTGTATGATTATGAAATACAAAGTATGTGGTCATTTTTACTATGCATTATGAGCTTCCAATTTTCCTCAAAATTCCACTTCAGTCCAAAGTGGCTTCAAAAGATTTATCAAAAATATATTTTCGTTTCGTTATTTGAATATTTTTTCGCAGCTAGCACTATAAAGAAAATCAAATATGCTTCGTTTGAGTTCCAAAATGCTTCTAAAAAAGCTTGTTATGTACAGATCGCTTGGCTCGTCGCCGCTTAATGTGTGTGCATTAGGGTGGTCCAAAATACATTTGAAAAAGTAAAGTCGGAATTTTTATGCTCTCATAACCTAGCATTGTTCTATACCGAAAAACATGTATCCCTATTTTTTATTTTGAAATCAAAAAAATATTTAGAGGGCGCTCAAAGCGCTCGAAGTTTTCCATGTATTTTATATGGGGGGAAAAAAACTTTTCGTAGAAATGGTATAGAATTCTTCAAAAGCAATATTTTTCGATCGGAAAACTCTTTTTTTTCAGGAGAATTACAGTAATAATGCCCAATTAATTATTTAACCATTCCCTCGTTTCATTTCGATGTCACCGGCATAAGCCTGGTTCTTGGAAAAAATTTTAGCTAAGCGTGGTTCAATTATACAGCTCAAATGACTCGACGGGCCCTTCCCAATTCTGACGGCGTTGATGGCTCAATGTCATTTAGCACAGCTGTATTATGTTCGCAGATATAACAGCTTCAGGCTTCGCGCCATAAATGCGAGTTCTGGACCAAACAAAGAGATGGTACGTGACGATATTCTCCGGGCCTTGCCAGCCTTTGTTAGATTTGCAAATTCTTAAGTCACATTGTTATGGTCTAATCGGCACGTTGACGGTGGGGTTCACAATTCAAACAAAACGTTCGGTAAGACTCTAAATGCCATATTAAGAAAGCTGTCGCCGGATCATCCTTTGTTGTGGCGGGATCATGCTTCTACCTCATCATAGTCGGGTAAAGGTGCGTTGACTTCGTCGATATCGACTGGCGACTGGGTTCATATTTTATACGAGTTTTAGTGCTGTTACTATCCAACAGGCTGGAGAAGTGTACCCTCAAAAATTTTAGTATGTTCGCCTATGTGTTAATGGGTCTCATCAATATTCGTATTATGTGAATGTAATCGCACAAACTGATAGAGAGAGGAGCCTCCCTTTTTCGACCCATCATAAAATTCACACAAAGTTTTACCTATTTTTTGTGAATTTATTGCATTGATATGCCAATGAGAGTCGCTAACATCCGCCGTGCAAATACTATTTTTACTAACGATAGACGCACACATGTTCTTACTGAATAAAAAAAAATTCAGCAATACAAAATATTTCGTTTTTTTTATAAACATTTATGTTAGTGGATTCTCATAGCATTTTTTAAGTGGATTTTAACACGACATGAAAAGCATCGCAAATAAATTACCAGTTGAGCAAATGTGGAATTTAAATGCGATCCATAGGTACGGTATGAGGCGCAAAGTATAAATATTGAATGAGTTTTTAAGAGAATCACATGTGATCGGATCGGCTGTCTGTTGTGCGCTCTTCACACTACCCCCAGCAAAACAAAAATGACTGACTACAACATTTAAGCAAATGGCAGCTTTTTATACACAATCATACATACATACATATGTAGATAGGTAGCTTCATTTTATAACCGGAAATTTCACACAAACCGAAAGCCCGAATTTTTTCGCCACTCTTTCGGCCACACTTTACTTTTTGTGTTTGCGGTCAATGAAAGTCAAATAAATGAAGTATGACTATCAGCAGATTTTTCGTCAGTAAATTAAAATTGACGTGGGAATGCAGAAAGCCAAAATAAAAACTTGTGACAAATGGCAAAAGGAATAAACATAAAAGTATTGTATACATACATATACATATTTGCATTTAGTAAATATCAGAGTATTTACCAGTATTTACGGGTCAATCCAAAAAAAAATGCGAAAAAATGCTGGCGGTAATTTATGGAATTTAATTGTTTTTGTGTGCGTTTTTTGTTTATCACACATTGCGCGTGATAAATGACCGTAAATGCTCTGTGAATGCCATCAGCTATGTATGCACATACATAAATACTTCTATTTGTTGAAGAACTATATTTTGTGCGCTCAACAGTAGTTACATATGTAAGCATACATATTTGTATTGGATCATTATGCTCTATTTGTAATCTGCGCTTACGCCTTTTAGCGTTTATATATAAGTAGTATAGAGTCTCATTGCTGTTGACAATGGCAACCTCATTTGATAACGACTGCAGCGCGCGAGAATCTTGATTAATTTTGCCCGTAGCTATACCATGATGAAATGATTATTTTTCACGCGGCTTTGATGTCAACTTCGTTGCTGACTCAAAGGAGCAAAGAAAGGTGACAGCAGCAACAGCGAACATTTGCAGATTAACACTCGCCAAAGTGGGGCTTAGAGAACTGCCACTGTCAGACACAGCGTTAAACTGTAACAGCTTGTTTTGCTTTGCTCTGCCATTTGACAGCGAACATAGTGGGATGTCCTGTCTTGTCGGTGGGACTTTGATGTCGTCTGCATTCTTTTGTTTACTTACAAATGTCTACAACCTGATCAGCGGATTTTGCTCAAAAATCACAAAAATTGATTTCCTTGATTTCGTTTGCTTTTCATTTCTAAATAGCAGTCCATTGGTCGTACGGTTTGATTGAGCCTAGTCATGTATCGGAATTTCTCAAAGTTTACTTGTACCACAATTTAGCTCTTTTCAATTACTTGTTTTGTACACAAACTTATTTACATTTTTTGCTGAAGGTGGGCATTTTATATAACACTAGTTACTTAACAGCTTTAAAGTCATTAATGGGAGCTTACGAGTTGGTGGTAAGGAGAGAGAATGTGAAAGTGATATAGGGTGACGCTGAGCTACTCTTTTTATGCAGCGCCTAGGATCACGAGCTGATGCGAAGTTTACATGAAGCAATTAGTTTAATTAAAAGTTGTCTGCCGACCAACTTCGTTGAAAGCAATTAGTTAAGGCAGTTAGCTCAAGGAGATTGTTGCTCTCAACTAAATTTATTCTACCTAATTTAACCTTAATCTTAATCTTAATCTAGTATTAATTTTGATCTTATTCTTAATCTTAACTTTAATTTAACTTAATTTAACCTAAACTCAATATTAATCTTAATACTACTCTTATTTTATTTCCATCATAATCCAATCTTATCCAAATTTCAATCTTAACCTTAATATTCAGCTTACACTTATTCATTAGCATAATTTTAATCTTAATCCTAATCTTAATATTAATCTTAACCCTAAAATAATCTTAATTTTAAACTTGATCTTAATTTTAGCCTTAATCTTAATGTTAATCACAATATTTATCTTAACCTTAATCTTAATCTTAATCATAATCTTATTCTTAATCTTAATATTAAGCCAAAACTAACTCTTAATCGTTAGACTAATCTTAATCTTCGGCTTAATCTTAATCGTAATTTTAATCGCTATCTTAATCTCAACCTTAATCTTAATTCTAATCTTGAGCTTAACCTTAATCCTAATTCTAATCTTAATCTTATCTTAATCTTAGCTTTAACCTTAATATTTAGCTAAATCTCAATCTTAAAGTATGTTCACATATCAATATTATCTCAATCAAAGCTCGTTTTTTAATCACCCCGTTTACACGATGTAAAGGCATAGCTCTCTGAGAGGCGTCGCCGATGTCGAGCAAAAACGAGAAGGCCTGTTCCCGCCAAAAAACTATTCAAAGATAAAATAAAGTACATGCCATGCATATGAATGATGATGCTTCGGTGAAAAGATCCTTCGACTCGGCTTCCATAGGTAGTGAACACAATGGGAAGGATCAAGTGGGGAGCACAAATTGCAGAAGGAAATATCATCACTCGCTATTAACAATTGGCGCAACTTCGCAAAGTAGTTATAGTATTCGGTATTACCAAATCAAGACTAAACATCAGCACAATATTTCAATGAGAAGAATAAAAACACAAACAAACGTAAGTAAATTTGCAATGCAGAAAGACCGCTTTCGGAGTATATTTGAAAATATACAAAGAAAATGATTCCACATGCCATCGCAAGACAAAGTGATGCATCAAGCATACAAATTTTCGCAAATGTGCATCAAGAAAAATTCCCTAGCAAAAACAAAGCCATAAAAAAGCGATAAATTTCCATCAACTAACTGAACCAAAGTAATTTTTAAGCTACTTGCAATATGCGAACACCCACCCACACACGACAAAGACACATTAACCAACCAAGAGCAAACTAACAGTGTTATTAGTCAATTTCGCATTGGTGGCAGACATGAGCTGCTGTGTGAGTATATTGCGAGGACTAACACATGCGTGCCTGTAGGTGCATGCCCATGAATGAAAAAATGAAAGCTCAAAAAGTAAAACACTCAAATTGCCAGAGGATTTGTATGTACATATATAAACGCTATATACATACATATATTTTTGCAAATGTGTATGTGAGAAGCAAATGCAACAACGCTTTTATGCCAGCAGTGTATATTTGTTGAAGAGAAAAATCAATATGGCAAATGCAGTTTTCACTAAATTACTCACAAATATTTCGCTGTTGTAGACGAGAAAAAATTCTGCATTTTTTTTTTTCAAGCAGCGGACATACAACAGGTGCCGAACTGGTTGCTTGGAACATATATTAAGACGAACTGCTTCAAAAGCTAACGAATTCAGTTAACCTTGAAAATGATGTTCCTGGGTGGTGGGTCCGAATTCTGCAATAATCGCTGTGGTATCACTCACAAGGTAATATGTTATATATCAAGAAATAGTTTAATTTCTAGGCGTCATGTTGGAACCAAATTTTCTCTACGTAAATATATACACGGAGGAAAGATCTATGGCTGGAAAAAGGTAAGTTTGCTCCCAACCATACTGAGGTGGATCAATACAGGTAGATAGAACTACTCGACTTAGAGGGACTTCACCCAAATACTCATGCAAAGTCTGAAAAAAAAACTTCTCAAACAGTAGCCTTCAAAGTTCTTCTTATTCCTGTTCATATTTATACCCGAACTCGGGCGAAGGGGGCTTGCCTAAGGATACTTGGTGCCAAAAACTGAGCAAAAGGATTCTGCATCACAAAAAGAAAAACGATATTCTAACAAAGCGGTACCCTTAAATTGAATAAGTACCGACGGCTACCATACATCCAAATTTCAACTTTACAGAAAGGTTCAAAACTTAACTTGGAAAGGAATGGCATTTTAGATGGCCGAAAAATCCAAAAAGTGGTTTTTCTGAGCTCTCGGGGAAAAATGTCGCATTGTACCTAAGACATCCCGAGAGGAATTAACCACCGGTGAGGTGGGTCTCCTCTGAAAACTTACCATACTATTTTATGAATCTAAGCAGTTTTTCAAGGTACAGGGCATATAGCTCGTCAATTCTTAATAAACTAGACCCAAAAATGTGCATAGCGACAAGGAAAGCTATCCATACGATCCTCATCTTTCAAGCAAGATGTATACAACTTCGCGGAGCGTCGATGAAACCTATGGTGGCCATATGTCCTGCCCATGGATTGTAACCCGTATTCGGTCCTGTCAGTGCTCGTGGCTCTACTCCTGTCTCTCTGAACAGGAATTTCATGAAAAACTTGGTTGTTTTTCAAGTCAAGTACTACACCAACGGCTGTCATGAGCTTTATTGTTGAGATCCTTGATGTATCCGACTACTCGCGTTACTCTTAGCGTAAAATTTGCTTCGGTTCGGCATCAACCAGTTCATTTCTATGAACACAAATTCCTGCAGTGTGCAAAGCTCATCACTAATCCTCCTTGTTGAGATTCTCATTGCCCTATTCTGTAGTCTACTAGCCCTTTAATCAAGTCTGGTAAGTTCAGCGTTCTACCGTGGAAACATTTTTCTTGCCAGCTGCTTCGTAGCGAGATTCGCACTTGGACCTACCGCAAATAATGTTTTGTAAACTTGCGTCACACTACAAAAAAATAACTTAGTAGGTACTGGTATAGGCATATTTGTACCGAGGATGAGATACTCGGAGCTTATAGGAAAGATTTGTGTAAAAACATACACTATACATAGAAAGATGCGCAGATGGATTGCCTTTATAAGCTTAACACTATGATTCTGGCCAATCGGATTTGGGGTTTCTGGGTTTCGAAACACATTATTTTTAAAGGAGATGATATGATAAGGGGGCATAAAAATCGTTCGCTGAGCCAGTACACTTCTGTTTAAAGAAAAGGGGGAAGACTTCGTCTTGGCAAAACAAGTAGAGGAAACCCAAAAACAAATTCTACTGGGACAATGTGCCACGGCTACATAGAGTGCTGCATAATGTTTATAAGACCATACAGTACATAGTAAAATGAAGTTTTCAACGTAAGCACTGTGAATAAAATCAATCTAGTACTCCCTATGTATTTAGGTTTTGAATATTTGGAAAGAGGATCTACAAATATAAAAGAGAGTTCTATTGAGAAATGTGCTATTGATTTACTTTGACTGAAATAGTACAAAGAGAGACGGCGAGAAAATAATTTGTTATTGTGACAAACCAGGTTATCTTAAACTATTTTTATGCAGAGCGATCCAGAATTATAAACTGGAAAAAATACGAGATTTAGGAGCGTTTTTTCATTCAAATGGCAACGTGCAGTTGTCTGGATTTAAAAATATAATCCCACAACATTTCTAAGTCTGCACCACATATTTTTATATATTGAGCGTATACGTAGTCTGCTTTTTCGCTTAAGGCAGTGCCACACGATTGCGGCATCTGTACAGATTTGTACATTTTTTTTATTTTACTATTAGTACAAAATAAAAACACGACAATTGTTTTCGTAGTCGCACGATCGGTGCAATATAGTGAACTTGTATTCAAAAATTGTGCATTTACGCGATCGTGTGACACTGCCTTTACAGTCGACTTTAAGGTTATATTTAGTACCGAAAAGCTGTTACCAACTGTACGTGTATGCGCATTATCGATATTTTGTTGCATTCTTATTTACCCAACTGTATCCGTGTGCAAGCTCCACTTCGCTGTCTGGAAATGCTGTATGTGCCTGTCATTGCATTTGCCACAATTTCGTTACAGACTCACAAAAACTATTTAAGTATAAGCAGGATATGTACTACTTTTCATACGATTCTGTGTGCATTTGTAAATGCCTTTGCGCATAAGTAAGCGTACATATGTACATATGTCAGAATTTTCACTCACCTGCTTGCACCTGTACATTCCGGCTCAGCACAGTGCCAGCTTCGTTGGCAGCCCGACAGCGATACGCCGCCTCATGCACATCTGTGCGATAGTATTGCGCCAAAAACGGTGGGAAATACAATGTGCCATTGCCAGTAATTTTCCTGCAAGATAAAACAACAAAAATAACAACAAACTCAAAACAAATTTAAAATGTAGTAAAATGTTCATGCATAGTTTTTTGCATTTTAGTAAGTAAATATTACAAATTGTAAGTACATTAGACCGTACCACCTTACAAGCAAACAAAAAAAAAGTTCGCCGTATACCGCGGAGTCTAAAGTATTTTAGCAAAGACATTTGAATAGAATAATCGAAATATTTACTTAGAAAAGTTTTACGATTTTTGGAGAGCTTTAATCTACTGGCATTAGGGGGGGCTTAAGGTCAATGAATTTTGGTACACAAAAATTACATACTCGCGGTAGCAACAGTATATGCCGACGATATGGCGAAAAATGTAATAAGGCGACCTCGCAACGCCTACGTTCTGCCGAAAAAAATCTGTTTTCGAAATTGCCTTGCAAAAATACTTTATACTCAGGGATGTGCGGCGAACTTCTTTGTTCTGCTCCGGTATAATGTACTCGTACATATACGAATATGCGGAAATGCACATAAAAGTGGCAAAGGCAAGCGCCAGGAAATATTCTCATTATCGTTGTAAACACTTGAGCAGATGTAAACATACAAGTATGTATAGTCATTTAAATATATTTTTAAATATGCAGAGTTAAGCAGTACAAATCCATAAACCGTAATGCATAAAAATAGGGAATATTATCATATGGGCAATAATATTAAATATCATATGCTAAACCATGTCGAGTTATAGTGTGGCCGCCATTATCATTAAGTGGAATAGTGAAGTAAAAAAACTTAGTATTTGGAGCTCAAACAAAAAAAAATATAAATATGGTAATACGGCGCATCAAAGTAAACCTGCAACACTCCAAGGCTGCTTTAGTTGCTGTGACACAAAATATTTGCGTGGATCGCCATTGGCATTTATGCAAGAGCCTTGAATGAGTGTATGAAAAACAGGTAAAGAGACTTTCGGGTAAGCTACTCTTTGACCCCTTCAAGGCTTATCTAATGACAGCTAGCCAAAGTTTGGGATCTATATTTCGGAGATAACTTCTGATCAGCGTACTTCGAGATTTCGAATTTTTGGCCCGAAACATTAGGGGTATTCTCGAAATCCCGCAAAGCCCTTGCAAACACACAACAAAATACATGGGAAGCAGCTAAGAATGTTAATCCCGGGTTCCCGGCCTTTTTAAGGTCCTAAAAACCCATTATTCTTGCAAATAATTCCGGGATTTTCGGGATTTACAATTTGCACTGATGGCAATGGAAACTCCTTTTCTTGAACATTATTGGCTATATTTATTTTTTTATTTAATAATTAATATTTTTTTATAAATTTATTTCACATTATACATTTAATACCGCGCGATAGTAAATTTGAAACACAAATATCAATATATTCGCGAAACCATGGGCCAAATATAGTAAAATTGCGTTTTTATTTTTTCACTCTGACGTCAGTAATTCAAAAATGATTTTAAAAATTCAGAAAAGTGTGCTTAGAGCAGAAGTATGGGAAAAACTGTCGAAAATTTTACCCGAAAGTTAAGGTATCTGCTAACTTCTGTAAAAAATGCACGGCGACCAGTAACCGATGTAAGACCACAAAAAAAAAAAATATTTTCGCAAATATTTTCTTTCATTATATTTAAATAGAATAACATTCGTGATATTTCAAATTAAAGAACCATTTCACGCTTAATCGGATTTATATTAAGTATTTATTTAATTGAAAGCATGACATCGAATTCAACTGAATTCAAAGAGTGACCGAATTCTCTGTAAACAATTTGTTAAATTGCGTTGCAAAATTTTTAAAATCACAATTTATATGCATGATTGTCCATACATATATGCAAGCATTTAAACTTGCGAACGTTTGTAGTTGCAAGCGTTTTTCTTTTGAATTAAATTATTAGTGAAATGAATAACGAATTACATGGAAAACATCAAACGTCAACCACATTTTTTTTTTTTCCAACGCGTTGCGCTTTCCACAAATTACGATCACGCTACGCGAATGGCAATGCATATCGAAACTAAAAATGTGCAAACAATTGAACGTACATTTGTATGTGTATACATTAGGGTCCTTTTTTTGCAACTATTTTTTTCAGTGCTACCTCGAAATGTTGTGGAAAACACCTAAAAAAAACTCCTTGAAAATTGCAAACCTTAATATTAACATTAAGTACTCGCCCAAGGTGTGCAAAGATTTACCATATAAAATATACGTAAGCTTTGAGCTTTTTTTTCTTCAAAAGTCTGCAGCTGAATGCTCTACAAAAGTACTCATTGTGGTGTAATCCTAACCCCCGCCAGCGAGGTAGTACAGGTCACTAAGCACAATTTTTTCATGAAATTCTCGGTCTTTTACCCCTATCTCGAAAATAACAAGAGCTACAGAGCGAGTATTTAATGTTAATATTAAGGGTTCAAATTTTCAGGTAGGAGTGAATAAAAACAATAGAGCAAAAAAACACCCTAGTACACATATTTATGAATTGTGGCATATCAATTTGTATTTTTAAATATGGCTAGCTTGGAGTGAAAAGTTACCCTACACCAACCTAAATTTACCTTACCTCAACCCACTTCACCTCACCCAAATGCGGCGCAACTCACCTTAATTCACGTTACCTAAAATCACTTCAACTCATATTTTGTTTAATAGCAAAAACTGATTTTGGCGAAGTTTATTGTTCAATAAATGACTATAAGTGACCATCAAGTCAAGGCGCACGAATGGTATTTTTAAAGGGATAGTAGCCTAGTAGTTCTAGCTTTAATTTAAGCCCAAGTGGAAGGTTCTATCCCCTTTTGTTTTTTTGCTAAGGCTTCTCAAATATTGCGAAAAACGCGATTTTTTGATACTTTGACCACGTTTTTTTTTTACAGATTCGTAATCAGCACAAAGAAGTCTATCAAAAACAGCTTTAACATTTTAGGAAACCAAATTTTTTCCAATTTTTGTTGGCCTCTGTAATATCTGAATTAGTAAAAGTTACCATAGAAAAAAAGCGCCTAACGGATTTTGCTCTTTTTTTTTTTTTGGAAAATGTTCAGTGAGGTCCCCCGAAATAGTAGCAACAAGAATCGGCGAAGGGAAACAACTTGAGGCTTGAAATTGTTTTCAGGGTACCGTGATATATGTCATCATAAGTGGGCGGTGCCACGCCCATTTTCCAAAATTTTATCATCAACGTATTTCTTGGTAAAGAATTGTTACAAGCATCAATTTTGAATAAATTAGCTTAAATATTTACTGATTTATCGAAGATTTTGTATTTCTCTAAATAACCGTTATATGGGATGTGGGCGTAGTTATTATCCGATTTTAAAAAATTTCGGCCATTTCGTATGTTATACCAAGGCCAACAACTGTGCCAAGTTCGGAAGAAATTGGTACAGCGGTTACCAAGATATACACATGTAACCATAAGTGGGCGTGGCTACGCCCATTTTCCAAAAATTTNACAACTTGAGGCTTGAAATTGTTTTCAGGGTACCGTGATATATGTCATCATAAGTGGGCGGTGCCACGCCCATTTTCCAAAATTTTACCATAAACGTATTTCTTGGTAAAGAATTGTTGCAAGCATCAATTTTGAATAAATTAGCTTCAATATTTAATGATTTATCGAAGATTTTGTATTTCTCTAAATTACCGTTATATGGGATGTGGGCGTGGTTATTGTCCGATTTTAAAAAGTTTCGGCGGTTTTTTATGCTGTACCAAGGCCAACAACTGTGCCAAGTTTGGAAGAAATTGGTGCAGCGGTTACCAAGATATACACATGTAACCATAAGTGGGCGTGGCTACGCCCATTTTCCAAAAATTTATAATATTCTTATTTTTCGTCTAAAAATTATTGTAAATATCAATTTTGAGTGAATTATCTTCAGTAGTTACTAAAATATCGCAGTTTTCGTATTTCTGGAAATTACCGTTATATGGGAAGTGGACAGTGCGATTTCGCCCATTTTTAATAACAACCTACCTTGGATTAGCGGAAACCTACATACCAAATTTCGTTGAGATATCTCTATTTTTGCTCGATGTATCGTGTTCGCGGATGGACGGACAGACGAACGGACAGACAGACATGGCTTAATCGACTTCCCTATTCATTCTGAGCATATATGTATACATTTGTCTATATCTATCTCGATTCGTTTTGGCTGTTACAAACAACCGTTATGTGAACAAANATATACCCTTGTGCACAAGTGCGCTCGGGTGTAAATTTGGGTACTAAATGTAAGAGGATATTTCCTTAGAATTTAAAAACATTTGAAATTTTTTGGATTCACAAGGACGAATGGTATTTTCTAAGCCGAAAAAGTTAGAAGGACGAGATTCGAGGATTTAATCGAGTTTATGTAAGTCCTTAACATAAATTTTTTCAAAAACAAATAATTTTTTCAAAGCGAAATTTCAAGAATGAAGTTTTAAAAGAACATTTTCAATACTTACCAATCCCTCTGCACCAAAAACTCGAATCTGTTTAAATTCTACAAGGTTTCCTCTTTAATTTGATAGCCATATGTTCAGTAAGCACATTTCGCTGAATTTTTTAAATCATTTTGTAATTACTGACGTCAGAGGGAATAACTATTTAAAAACGCAATTTTACTATATTCGGCCTATGGTTTAAAATTAATTAAAATTAATAAAATGGTGTTTAAAATTTACTATCGCGCATTGGTGTGTGTATAATGAGCTTGACATTTATGAAAATTAATAACTACTAAATAAAAAAAGAAATATAACCAATACTGGTCAAAAAAAGGATTTTCTATTATTACCATTAGTGCTAATTACAAATCCCGAATATCCTTAAAACGGCCGGTATCCCGGGATTAATATTCCTAGTATGTGTATATTTTCGCAAAACATACAAGTTGATACATGAAATGTCACTCAATGAATGAATGCAGATGAAATTGAATACCCATTTGATTGCGTAACCCCACGTCTATTGCCTGGGTTATAATGGAAGTAAGGGGACGG